TTTTTTGTTTATTCAAAATTTGTTGTTTCAAAAGCGATTGTTTTGTCTTTGCTGTACTTCCTGTCTAGAAAGGCAGCAGTGCACACGTCTTATCAGCTGTGTGTAAACTACAAACAGATATCTTATCAGTTGTTTGTAAATAGCAAATAAAGAAAGTGGCCCAACTTAAAACTATTTACCCTCAGTTCAGTTATGTTTGTAAACCATGCATATTAATGAGATGCACTAGTTTGGTGTACACTGGATAAACAAAAACTTGGCCATTTGTTTGCACACAAGAAAAAAATCAGTTTACTTGTACAAGATATTTTTTTTTCAATAAAATAAAAACACCAATGTATGTAGCATGCCTTAGGGAGCTATTCATGAGATTTTCAAAAAAAAATGTGAAAAGTGCCCAAAAAACTATTCTGCTACCTTAAACTTGTTCGAGGCCATACCTTAAAAGTGAATATTAATAAAGATTATTAGTCAAGATTTGAACAAAAATGGACAACTAGTTTTTGTTCATGTCCATGTTTGTTTGTCATTTATATATTGCCTGATCCAGTTGAAAGTTTTCATATATTATATAAGTACTATACTAAGTACTCATAATACTATAATATTACTATAGGTTGTATGATTTGGTGTGACTTTGTGTGATTTGTTGCATTGGTGATCATTTTGTCCAGGAACATTTCTTACAGATGAACAGGGCTTTGTAACAGGATCCACATACTGGGTTACAGACGCACATCATTTTGACAAATGTTTCTCTGAAATGGTTTGCATGATTTCATTCATAAACTCAGTCCAATTACTGTACATTGCCAGCAAAGCAATCGCATCACAGCACTATTAAGCCAAATGTACACCCACATTTCTGGGTCGCTCCTAGCGACTAAATTTGATATTAAATCGTGATTTACAACATTTTTATTTTTAATTGATGTTTGTTACAGGGAAGAGGTTTTAACACTGGTGTGATTTTATTAGATGTAAAAAAATTAAGAAAAATGAAATGGATGCAGATGTGGAGGTTAACAGCAGAAAGGGAATTAATGAGTATGCTTTCGACCTCACTGGCTGATCAGGTAATTAAATTCTCTCCTTGTAGTATGCTATTGACCTATGGATCTCACTCCCTGTGGGAAAAACTTTAATGCATAGTACAGAATGTGACCCTTTAATCTTGACTTAAAGATCTGTCATTTCTTAGACATAAGGTTTAGGATTTTTAAATTTCAGTGGAAAACAAACTCATGAAATATCTTGCAAATGTAGTCACAAAATGCAGGTCTTTAAATTACTCACTTTGTTCAACCAGGAAGACATGTATTAACATTTACTTTGCTTTATAGGATATCTTTAATGCTGTAATTAAACAACATCCTGATATCGTGCATCAGTTACCGTGTGCATGGAACGTACAACTCAGTGAAAACACAAGAAGTGAGGTAGGTATCTGTAATGGCAAGACCCCAACCTTTCTGATTTTAAGCTAGTCTTACTTGAAGTGGTCTTTGGCACATGTTATTGTGGTTACAGAACATGACATACCGGTATATTAGATTATATTACAGGATTTACATCACATGACCTAATACTGCCGCCATCTCCTCTGTCGTTCATTTCAGACTTGTTACACTGAAATATCAGACATCAAGGTCATTCACTGGAATTCACCGCAGAAGTTACGAGTGAAGAACAATCACATAGAATTCTTCCGCAATCTTTACTTAACATTTTTAGAGTATGATGGTAATTTATTAAAGAGAGAGCTGTTCGGTTGTCAGGCTTATCAGCACAAGCCCAAAGAAGTTGTCAAAGAGGTGAGCTTAATAATGGAGTGTTTGATGAATTGAAAATCTCCATATTCTTGGTTATGTGAACATGGAATGCACAACTTTAGAGCGTTTTTGTTTTGTGCATAGCATCATGCAAAAAGACAATTTATTTTATATTTCATCTACTAAACACAATACACAAAAAACAGACACAATATGACAGAACGCCATTGCCTCGCTTTATTTTCACAAATAATACGGTGTTATATCATGTAGCTGTATTTTCATAGGACAAGCATAGATACACTGTATCACGATGTCTTGTTTTGGTTCTTGTGATCTCCCCAAACAATAACCCATTATCCATAACATTGCCTAGAGGATGTTTCAGATAAACACTGTTAATTTCTCTGAAGTGGGCATGACCACCAGCTGCTATCAGCAAGTTTGAAATGTCAACTGTTCAGTCAGTCACATGTTTTCCTTTAAGCACCATATCAAATGAGGACAAATTTGTTCACATTTTCTGTTATTTTCACTGAATTCAATCTTAATTTTGGACTAAACATACAAAAGGTGTTATTGCCTCTAGTTTTTGATCAAAAATTTAAAATTTTGCTCAACATTTTTTGTGAAAAAAAGGAGACTACAAATAGAACTATTTTGTGGATGGTGCCTGAAGTTGGCTTTGGTGCTCCAAGGGTTAAATCACTTTTTGTCTGTTTTTCAGCATGTGTCTTTGACAATATATGTTGTGAAAGCTTTGGATGTAGGAGAAAACAGATGTACATTTTTAGTAGCATTTTCTATTTATATCACTTCCACCAGCTTTTTTCTGTTTTCATCAGCTGATGTAATAATTTATTTTTTCAGATTACTGAACTTGATGAAGATGATCAGTGTTATGAGTTCAGACGAGAAAAATTGCTGACACATAGAATACATTTATACTATTTAGATTACCAGTATATACAGGTAAGTGAATATCTTACAATATCTGATATTTAATGCTAAAGTCAGCTTTAACAACAAAAACAAAATTCCATAACTTTTCTGTATTTGTTTTAAATATTGATCAAGAATATAAGCCTGTTCAGCGATCATCTTATTCCTTCCAATGATTTGAAAGTTCTGTTCTCCAAACTAGTTTGTTTATACAAGTATTAGTTTACTGTGTTCTTACCAGTTCTAAAAA